GGGGAGTGGAGAGGGAGAGGAAAAAATGAGAACCTGATACCAGGGGCTTAAGTGGAGAGCAGATGTTTCAAGAATAATGAGGGCAATGAAGGTACAAATGTGCTTTACACAATTGATGTATGTATGGATTGTGATAAGAGTTGTATGAGCCCCTAATAAAACGATTTAAAAAAAGAGGGACAGGAGAAAATTGCCATCAATAATTAATTTGTTTTCATGCAGAGAAAGTAGCCAGTAATTGAACTGGATCCATTATTTCTGCAAATTTGTTAATGTGGAGGACTGTGGGAGCTGCTTCTGCTTATTGCCCAAAGGGAAATTTCTGTTTCTGTTGCCTCTGAAGAAGTTTCTAGTAGCTTGTCCTATGTTTAGAATTATGCCGACTGCATTTTAGCTGTGTATTCCCACCTGGAGTCATTGTATCCCTATTCTAATGAAAATTCCCTGAGTGTGTTGCTTGGTTTGGGGGGTTCTTTTTGGTTTGGTTTTGGTTTTGAATAAGCGATTTTAGAAAAAGTTCCAGCTTTAACGAAGCCATGAGGCAGATCCAGGAGCTGAAGGAGGCCGTAGAGTTGCTCAAGGAGATCATCCAGGTGGGGTGTGGCTCTGGCCAGTGAGGGACTGAGGGGCTGGCCCTGGTGCTCCACACCACTCCTTGAACACATGCTGGCATGACAAGAGGCAGCTCTCCCCTCCTAACTCACTGCCAGCGATTCTGACCCAGTGACCCTTTGGACAGAGTAGAACTGCCTCTGTGGGTTTCCCAGACTGTAACTCTTCAAAGAAGTAGAAAGCCTCATCTTTTTCCAGCCAGTGGTTTCCAGGAGATGGCTTTGTGGTTAGAAGCCCAGCATGCAACCCACCATACTACCAGGACACCTGCTCTCTACTATAGTCTCAATTCTCCACCTCCCAATCTAGCGGTTCTAGGTTCTAGGAAAGCTGATCCGCACACCACATGGGACTTCCTACAGTCCCCTGGCCAGGGGGAAGTTCTGTTCCAGTCCCTGCCTGAGTTTGGAGGGTGATTCATGTGCAGAGACCTGCTCTTGTTCATTCCATGAAGGTTCACACTACTTTCTAGATGCCAGCTCCTGTGTAGAGACCAAAGCCCTCCAACATGTCTGTGTAGGCTGATAGGCCCTACAGTCAGAGTTCTACAGATACAGATCAAATTCTAGTGCTTCTATTCAATAGCTGATTTCCTTGGGAAAGTCTTTGAGCCTCACTGGGCCTCTATTGGTTCATCTCTAAAGTGGGCCAGATGTTTGCACTTGAGGGTTAAGTGACTCAGTGCAGGGTCTGGCATGCAGTCAGTGGCTGCTGCTGTGATCTGTGCCTCCGAGAGGCATGCAAACACATCCTAATGATGCCGGACTGAGTGGAAATGAAGGTCATGGGACACAGCTGAGGATGAAGGTGCAGGAAAATTGCTTGGGCCTGTCCTCCCTTTCAAATGCCTCAGGGGCACAGGCATTTGAAAAGACAAGAAGAAGGAGCTGGCCACAGGCCAGCCATGTCCTGGTGCTAACCGGCCTCCCAGAACTCATATCTGGCTTCCTGATGAGCGCAGGGAGCCTTTGTAGGGAGTTGAGCAGAGCAGTGACATAGTCATGGCAGCATTAGGTATGTCACTGGGGCTTCATTGTGGAGCCTGGTGCAGGTACTTGGAGAAGGGGTGCAGGTGTGCATGCAGGGAGAGCAGGTACGAGGTTGTTGGGATAGTTCAAGAATGAGGTGTGGCTGTGGCATAGGGATTGTAGTGGGGGCTGACGGGAAATATCGGAACCATTTTGGGTTGGGGGCAAACGGTGGAGGGAGGTGGCTGGCAGGATTTGGTATCATATCGGGTCAAAAAAAAGGCTTGGGGACCTCCTGGATGAGGATCAGGAGGCAGGATGTGGGCATCTTATGCAGGCATTTGCGTTGCTTACCTGAGGAAGGACCCCAGGAATAACTAGCTAAGTTGACTGCCAGTTAATGAACTGGCTGGGTCTTTTCCCTCTGTGTCGCAGCAAGGGCCAACCTGACTTAAGCTCTCCCAAGATGGCCAAGCAGCCAGAATACGACTTGGAGAAAATTGAGAACAAAGCACAACCCAGCGCAGTTATGCTTCCCAAGTACCTACAAGGTGGTGCTGACTGCAAGGAGGTGTGGGGTTTGTGGGCGGGGGTTCTGGCTCTTGGACAACTACAGGTGTTGGTAGCTGTGCCTTGAGTGAGTATGGAACTTGGGGGACACCACTCACCCCAGTGGACCATGTCATTCCAGCTTTCAAGAAGGCCCTGGTCCTGGTCATGTAGGTAGAAGAGCAGGCCAGCAAAGAAACCAGCAGCAAGAAAAGCCCCAGCGATGAATGCAAATAAATTAGAAAATAATGGAAGTTTCCCACCAACTTTTTAAAGCCCCCTTGTATATCTATCTCACAACTTTTACCTGTTCAGTTATTTACAGGTTTATTGACCTGTATTGACAGCAATTACAAGAATCTGCTTGCCTTATTGACAGCAATTTCAAGAATCTGCTTGCAAGCTAACATTCCATGATCCTTGTTTTTCCATCACCCCTACCCTCCACCCCCAATTTTCTGTATACTGACCCTAGTAACCACTAATAAACTTTGATATCTATACATTTGCCTTTACTTGTCTTTTTATATAAGTGAAGATATACATTATCTGCCCTTTTGTGATTGTTTCATTCGGCATAATGACTTCAAGCTCTATCCGTACTGTATCAAGACTTTCTTTCTTTCTTTTTTTTTTTAAGACTTTATTTCTTTTCCTGTCAGAGCAGTACTTGTGTTTACCACATTCTGTTTGTCTGTCATCTGTTGGACATTTATGTTATTGAAGCTGTTTGGTTATTGTTGATGTTGCTGCAATGAACACTGCTATGCCCGTCTCTCTTTGAGGATCTGCTTTCAAGTCTTTTGGGTAAATACACAATCAGAGTGGATGTCACTGTTCATCTGTCAGTTGGTCAGATTGTAGTGGTTTGTGTCATGCTGGAAGCTATGCCAGCTGGTATTTCAAATACCGTCTATGGCAATCAGGCTTCAGCAGAGTTTTCAGACTCACACAGGCTAAGATTGATTCAGACCACCTCTGAAACAGTAGCTACTGAAAGCAATACGAATAGCAGCAGAACATCATCTGATACAGTGCCAGAAGATGGCCCCTCAGGTGGGAAGACACTCAAACCAGGATTAGGGAAGAGTTGCCGCCTCAAAAGATAGGTCCTCAGAGATCCTCAAGTTGGCTCCAACTCATAGTCACCCTACGTACAAAACACTGGTCAGTTCTGGGCCATCCCTACAATTGTGATTGAGCCCATGTGGCAGCCACTGTGCCAATCCATGATGTTCAGGATCTTCCTCTTTTTCAATGACCCTCCAGTTTACCTCGTGTGATATCCTTTTGCACTAACTGGTCTCTCCTGACGACATGTCTAAAGACGTGAGACAAAGGCTTACCATCCTCACCTCTTAGGAGCATTCTGGCTGTTCTTCCTCCAAGACAGGTTTGGTTTATTGTTCTGACAGGTCACTTCCAGTATTCTCTCCCAAGTAGAGTTGACCTTAATGATCTGGATGAAGCAAATCTTGGGAGACCTTCATTGGCTAATATAGCATAACTCAAACTGAGAAGAAACCATTGAAACACCTATTAATCAGGGTGTGGAATGTGCAAAATGTAAGTCTTGGAAAATTTGAAGTAATCAAAAATGGATTGGTATAGGCCATTTGGAATCTTGCAGTCATGGTTTACTATGCTGGGAATTAAAAATCGAAGAGGAGTGGCATTGCATTTATCTTCTGCCTGAACACTGCTGCCTGAAATTGTGTTGCAAATTATCTTTTTAAAGTGTTAAAAGTGCAAAGACACCACTTCGAAGACTAATGTGCTCCTTACCCTAGCTGCTAACAACAACCACATGGTGGTATGTTTGCTATTTTGAGGAAC